TCCTGCATTCCGGACAGAACCATTCTGCATTCTTCCTTGGGGCACGCTTTAAGTTCACACATTTAAAGTGAAGCCATTTATAGGAACAGTTCTGGTTGTCACAGCCAATAACTCTATCCTCTGTGTCATCATAGGGTTTTCTGCAAATGCAGATTGTCTCATCATCACCATTTGCATCCACTGTCGGTGTTGGTGTCAATGTGTTGGCAGTTTCAACTTTCTGAAGTTGTGTTGAAAGTACAGGTTTAGAGTAATGCTTACACAGTAACTCTGGAAGAACAGCACTTTTAAAAAACTTCTCTGCTTTCCCTCTTGCTTCCTCCCAAATGTCCAAGTCTGGCTGAATTCTCTCTATGTGGATGGCTTTATGTGTCCATACAACAAAATCACAAAAGTCCTTCTCGCAAATGAAAATCTGAGCTTGAACCTGGGAATAGTATGGGTGATTCCTCTTTAGTCGTAGATCATCTCCAATCTTCTCCAGGCAAAAGTCCTTGTTGAGATTAGACAAGTCCTTCCCTTTGCAGCTGTATGGGCACTTGACCTCCACACATCCATTTCCACAACAGGCACATGAAACTAGGAGGTCTGGTGTTGCTCCAAGGAAAGGGGACCGGGTATCAATTGTAAGTCCGCACTTGCTGTGATGCATGTCTTGATGGTCTGCTGTTGTTTTCTTGATGTATGCATCAATGGCTGATTTTTCATGTTGACATCCCCAGTCTGTGGCCTTGCTTCTAAATTTTAAACTTTCTGGATAGCAAACTGACTTGATGACACTTAGCGATGGCTTCTCTGGATTGGTATGGCAAACAGCATGAAGACGGGACGCAGTGATTCTCCCACTCCTGAACCGAAACCAATCTTTACTGCTTGCCTGACGGCGAGTTCTCTCCTCCACAGCTGCTGCCTGGGATGCTGTTACTATGATGTCATCGAAGATGATGTCACACTGGTTGTGAAGTTCATCTTCAGTCATTCCAACATACTCCTCATTGTACAACTCTGAGAGCACTTTGGGAAGATGTACACTCAGTGAGGCAGGTTTGAAGTGTTCAGCATAGCCTGGCATCAGAGACAACAATACAGACTTTGACTGGCTCTCATGTAACCTCCGCAGGAAGCCATTCACTTCATCTTTGGAAGGGGTTGGTACATCATTCCTACGAGCTGCCCTCAGGGTTGGAGTTGTTGGAGTTGGTGGAGTTGTGATACTCTCGTCTAGTCTGCACTTTATTGTAGAGGCTGAGGTGAAATCGATATCTCTGACTTCATCGTATGTAACCTTTTCTATCCCTGATGGAAGCAGCCAGTAAGCAGGGGACTGTGTCACTGTCTTAGAATTGCGGATCTTCACTGCAGCCTCTATCCAGAACAGCAATGCTCCAACATGGGTGCAGGTTTCCCCCAAGCCAGCCATGCATGTACAGTGTGCAGCAAGAATTGTTCCATCGGAATTGGCTATGACCCATGGTTGAAGTGGCGCTTCATTCATCCTCTGGGAGTGGCGTACCTAAAACAAATACATTAAACTCATATAAAGGATATATTGAAATGAAAACAGGATATTGATTTTTCAATTAAACTAGCACACTGCTACCTCATATTCAGGGCAGATAATTCATACATCAAGAATAAAATACAGAAAATGTCTGAGATATGAATGCTGCCGCCGCCCCCATGTGAATTAAAAGTAAAAAGGAAATAAAAGAGGATCAATTTGATTTCACGACATGACGGCCATGGGTAAAATTATGGCAGGGATATAAGAAGAAAGACTTGCTCTAGAACTCCCTCCAAAAAAAAAATAAAAATAGATAGATAATAAATAAGTAATTAAACAAAATTAATCAAATGAAAGATTTGCAGTATTTCTCACAGTCCATTACATACTTGTATGAGGACAAAATTAAATAGATAAACTCATTAAGTTTAAAATATTATGATAATGCTTTTTTTATATAGGCCTATATAATTTAGCACCCTTTCATACTAGGCCCACCAAAATTTCTTTATTGAAAATACTTTAACACTAGATTCTATTCAATCAAGCCTACTTTTTGTTATAACATTATACTTCATCTGAATTCTAGTCTTAATATCACAATATTTTTTCTCAATTTTTTATTTGTAACTTCTGGCATAATCTACGGTTATAACACAGAGTATGTTATACATCTGGTCAAGTTCAGTTAACTCAAGTTACTCATGCCTACGCTTTACGTGGGTCATTTTACTAGGACAGTGTAAACATTGTCGTTTGAAGATCGTATTTATAAACGGGCAGCCTACAGTAGGGGGGTTTAGTTTTGATTATTTCTAGGCTCGGTCATAACCGGAACAATGACGTTATAAGCCCCCATTAATCGATCAAATCAAGCATAAGTTATGATCAGGACAGTACAGTAAGTAGTACTACACACCTTTGCAAACATCAGAATGTTCTTCGTAACGAACGATGAAATGTGGCCGACCTCCTTCACCCAACCGCAAACAAACTGGTTGTAGGATTCCAGGGACTTGTAAGCTTTCAAATCCTGCAATGTGTAGGCACTCTGAGTGTGGACCAAGTAATTAACGATGTCTGGGTACGTCACATCTGGAAGACCATCAGGATCTGAACGCCAGTCGCTTTTCTTCACTTCATACGGATCTAAATGGTCTACTAGTTTAATTTTCTCTCTATAACGTGCCAAAGTAATCGGGTCAAGTCTGTCTGTATAGCTAACCTTGATTGGCTGTTCTGGAGGGCTTTTCTGCGACGTCATTGTTAGCGATGACTCATGCAAATTGATATTTAAATATGAACTGCTTGACCCACAAGATGGCGGCGCTAATTCAAAGCCCCGGATGTTGTGACGTCAGCGAATACTATCTATAACATCAGATAATAAATCGGCCGACCAGCGTCCTCTTATGTTATAGGAGTAGGGAAATGGGTTGTGTGAGCGGTTTAACCGTACATTACTGGATATGTTAGGAACTTTGGAACCAAGTGAGAAACATGATTGGAAGAAACACATTGGACCCCTGGTGCATGCATATAATTGCACTCGTCATGAAAGTACAGGACATACACCGTTTTATCTCATGTATGGGAGACATCCAAGATTACCAAGTGATCTAGTGTTTGGAATAAGTAAATTCCACGAAGGAAGGGATGACAGCTATTCACAATATGTAGTCACTAAGAAGAAGGTTGAAGTCTTCCTATGAGTGTGCAGCCAAAGCATCAAGTCGTGCCAAAGAGCGACAAAAGATAAACTACGATACTCGTGTAGGAGGCTCTTCTATCCAGACAGGTGACCGGGTACTAGTGACGATTTTGGTACATGACGGTCGCCACAAGTTATCTCCCAAGTGGGAGGAGGATGCATACATTGTTCTTGATCAGCCGAATAAGGATATACCTGTTTTTAAAGTGAAAAAGGAAACTGGCGAGGGAAGGATCCGAACTCTTCATAGAAATCTGTTACTTCCTATCTCTAGTGTGCCAGTAGTCACTGACCAACCGAACAATGAAGAGGAACAGACCAGGACTGGTGAGTCGTGTGTTACTTCATTAGAGGATGAATCTTGCAATAGTGAGAGTGATTCTGAAGATTCATATTTTGTTCCGACTTCTCCGGTAGCAGTTGGGAGTGCCCCATACACCACCACAGTAGATACTGCTGCTGCAGAAACCATTGTTGTCTCCGAACTCACAGATGACGGTCCAGTTGAGGTTACGGAGACAGGAGGAGAAAGGGATATTGGTGACGACCAATCGTCCATGGATGACGAACATATTCCTACTTCTCGGCATGATCCCATTACATCATCTGATGGTAATGAGGTGTCCATAAACGATGCTGACATTTTGGATCAGACAGCACACGTATACAAACCAGTTCCTGTGCCTAGAAGGTCAGTGCGGAAGAGGGAAAAAAACAAAGTGGCAGACATCAAGTGATTTTGTTTTAAATATGTTGCAAACCCCAGGAATGTGTGTTCAAAGTCCGGACCGGCTACTTCGTGTGGTGTTACAACGCCATACTCGTCTCAACCCGGAGGCAAAGGAATTTGTCCCAGTAACTGTCAATGCAGAGTCGTCTGCACCTGAAAGTGTTGTTGTATCAGACAGTAAGAGCAGTGCGTTACAAAGTGATGACTCCGATATGAATACTGATAGTGCGGTTGATTCTAGTGACTCTGAGGAAACGCGTACTAAAGCTGTTGAAGGTGAGCATAGTGATGGTGCAGAGACTGTCACTGAACATCCAACTTCGATAGAGACAGCATGTGCTCAGCCAGAAAGTGGACAGTCAGATAGTGCGGACAATATTGGTACGGACTCTGGTGATGGTGACTCGCTCCAAAGAACTCTCCGTCGAAGCACGCGTATATTGCGCCCGTTATGCAGATTGACTTATGGTGCTGATGGATCTCAGATGTCATACAATGCATGGTCGATTACAGCACATTCTGAAAGTTGTGACATTGATCTCAAATAATGTGTAGTGATGTAGGGAGACTATATATGTTGAATTTATGTGATTCTATTTTTTATGAACTGTAGCAACTTTTGTTGAACAATGGTCGACATAGTGTCGAAAAGTATTTTTATGGTTCTTCAGAAAGTGGAAATTATATTTTTTATACTCTAGTCAAATGTATTTGATTGACTTAAAGTCATAGATCATATATCGGTCAGGCCAGCCGTTGATCTTTAATACTGGGTCTGCGTACCTGGGTAACATTGTAATGACATCATGAGTATATTAGGTCTGTGTACCTAAAGATTTTTTTTTTCTATTTTGAGAACTGTAACATGTACATTCCTAGTCAGCAAAAGCGCATTTGTGATTTTGACCAAAGCATATTTTTATTGTAACGCTCAAAGGTACAGTTTGTTTTAGAGTTATATATTGTGTGTTGATGTCGGGACGACATCAAAGTTACAGGGGGAGAGTGTAATTGTGTCAGCGTTTTGTTAGAGGGGTATATTTTTTTTAAATTGGCTACAGTCGAACCTGCCTATTTAGGTCGAGCAAGTATATGCCAATCGAACGCACCCGTTTCTGCTTGACTAACACAGTGTCTCCAGCTTCTAAAGCTGACTCGACAGCTCCGCGTTTCTGATCAATATAAAGTTTATTTCTGTGTTTCATTTCACTGTCGCGATCGCGAACACTTTCATCAACATGTCGCTCTAACTGTTCCACCTGAGGTAATTTCGTACCCCACATTAATTCAGCTGGCGACACTCCTGTCGTCGCATGTGGCGTCGTCCGATAGGCTAAAAGATAAGTTCTGAGTTCATTTTTCCAATCTTTTGACTCGGCATGCGCGATTTTAATACGCTTGAGTAAAGACCGATTCTGTCGTTCTACCTCCCCATTCGCGGCTGGATGCAATGGTGTTACGCGACGATGGTGTATGGCATTCTCCTCCATGTACTCTCTAAACATATCGGACTTGAACTGGGGTCCATTATCGGACGTGACAGAGCACGGTAACCCATAACGACTAAACATAGTCTCTAACACATCAATCAGCTTTCCGGTAGACATGTCCTTAGTAATTTCCAGCTCATAATATCTGCTATAATAATCAACCACGACAAATACATAGTGTCCGGTTGGGAGCGGTCCCATGAGATCAATCGCTAGATCTTGCCATGGTCCTATCGGCAAGGGTGTGGGCGTTACTGGCTCAGCGTGTGTAGAACTATCAACAATTTGACAGCCATGACACGCTTTCACATAGTTTTCTACATCCTTGTCCATACGCGGCCACCACACTTTAGTTCGGAGTTGTTTCGTTCCCACGATACCTAAGTGTCCTTGGTGAGCTAACTCCACACATTTCCTACGCAACGCTGTCGGAATTACTAACCGGGTTCCTCTTAACACTAAGTAACCGATTTGACTGAGTTCTTCTCTGACTGGGTAGTACATTGGACACGACTTGTCCCACCTACGCGACATTAGACAGATTCTTACGTCAGATAGTTCTTGGTCGACCTTTGACATTCCCTCGACCTCACGAGTAGACAACGCAATTGGAGTTGCCTCCCTTGCTGTAAACCTGACAAACTCTTCTGTCTCAGACTCTAGCTGACTCGGTGTCGGACTGACTTTGAGAGCCGGGTTCACTAACCTAGATAACGCATCAGGGATGTTTGTTTTTCCAGGTGCATATACAACTTTGAAATTGTATGGCATTAACTTCACGATCCATCGCTCAATCATGGCGTTAGGTTTTGACCTAGGTCCATACAACACTTCCAGCGGTTTATGGTCGGTAACCAATTCAAACGCGACTCCCTGGAGATACAATCGGAACTTCTCGCAAGCCCATACCACTGCAAGAGCTTCTTTCTCAGTCGTAGAGTACCTTTTCTCCACATCTGTCAACGCTTTGCTGGCATAGCTTATCACCTGCGAATTTCCATCATTTGACTGAATCAACATGGCTCCTAATCCTACATTACTAGCATCGGTTACAACTGTCGTCTTGCTAGCGTCAAGCTTAAAATGACCTAATGTCTCTGCTCTAGACAAACTCCCCTTGAGCTTATCAAAACTGGCTTGTTCTTCCTTTCCCCAACAGAACACAGCACCTTTCCTCGTAAGTTTCCGTAATGGCTCAGAAACTGTGGCCAGGTCCGGAATGTATCTGGCACTAAAATTCACCAATCCTAAGAAGCTTCGTATCTCAGCCCCTGATGTCGGAGGTTTCGCCTCAATGATCCCTTTCACTTGATCTGCTGTCGGCCCTATGCCGTCCATTGAAACCATATGTCCCATAAACTGAATCTGATTCATCCCTAACTGACATTTCTGACGATTCAATGTCAAATTATTCTCCAAGATCCTGTCAAACACCTTCGCAAGTCGACGGTCATGTTCTTCCTTAGTTTCAGCGTGGACGACAATATCATCAGATATATTTTGTACTCCTTCACAGTCATGGAATACTTGCGAAATAACCTGCTGGTATTTCTCTGGTGCAGAATTTATACCAAACATAAGTCTTTTGTAGCGATAAAGACCCTTATGCGTAACAAACGTAGTTATGTCTCTCGAGTTCTCGTCCAACTCAATCTGGTGATAACCGTACTTGAGATCTAACTTGCTGAATACTTTGCTACCGTTCATGTTATACATGATCTCATCTACTGTCGGAATAGGATGTCTCTCCCGTATAATTGCTCTCTGTTTGCTTGCCTCATATCAACACAAATACGAATGTCACCGTCCGGTTTAGGCACGACAATGCAAGGACTGACCCAAGGTGTCGGCTTCTCAACCTTTTCAATAATATCCAAGGTTTCCAACTCATCAATCTTGTCGCTTACCTTCGCCCTCAAACTATACGGTACCCTATACATGTGTTGAGCTACAGGTCGGACTGTCTCATCTATGTGTAATTTCAGCTGATAGTCTTTCAACTTGCCTATACCATTAAAACATGCAGAATATTTGTCCAACAGATCATCCGTTACAACGTTAACCGAGTTGACACCTATCCTCAACATTCCAAGTTCCATGGCGGTGTCCCTACCAAGTAAGGCCGGTCCAGATCCATCCATCACATATATTTCAGCTTCAGACTTGTGGTCTGTATTGGGTACGTGAACTCGAGTCTGAAATTTCCCAATGAGCTTTAACGGTGTATCGGACCCATATGTAAACAACTGTGTGTCAAGTTTTCTCCGACTTACATGTAATGTGGTTCTGTTTCAATTGTTCCCACAACTTCCGGTCAATAATGTTCACCGTAGCACCACTGTCAACAATGAAATCAACATCCTGTTTGTCTACCTGTAGGCGGAATTTCTCTGACCTAGATCTCTGACTGACATTAAAAGCATAGTTATTCTGTTCTGGTTCAACAGCACAAACATTTCCTTTCCGCGGCCCATTATTCCTCTGCGAATATGAGCTACTACGTTTCTGAGAACTTCCGGGTAACTTACTCTTACAACATTTTGCGAAATGTCCCACTTTTCCGCATTCATTACACCTTTTAGTCTTTGCTGGACATTGGGGATCACGTGACAAGTGTCCCTCACGATCACATCTGTAACATTTCATATCCGTCTTTGGTTTATGTTCATGTGTCCGTTTAGCATGACCCTGTTTAGCAGCACCATGACTTGACAAACTCACTCTGTTTAATGTTCCTTGATGGCTTTCCATCTTCTTTGCCTGTGTTTCAGCCTGTTCTAAAGTACTAGCCATCATTCGTAGCTGATCTAAAGTCAATTTGTGACCTTTCTCTAGCAGACGTTGCCGTAATTTGTGCGACCTACATTTTTCGATGACTTGATCCCTAATTTGTTCGTCCGGCTTGTCAAATTCACAAAGCACCGATTGTTGTCGTAATTTGGTTACAAATTGTTCAACAGTTTCATTTTCCTCTTGTTTCATAGACCTAAATGCATACCTTTCATAGGGCACATTGATTTTTGATTTGAAATGTTTTTCTAATGCGGCGGTTGTTTTCTCGTAAGCATTACCTCCGTCCCCCTCTGGCAGTGTGAAAAAAATGTCCTGTACATCTTGACCCGCACAGTGCAATAACAATGCACGCTTTTGATCCACATCTGTTACACCCTTTCCTAATGAGAAAAGTTCAAAACTTCTTAACCATCTTTTCCAAGCTTGATGGGTTTTCATCGACTCCCCATGTGCGTCGAATGTACACATTCCATTCAACTCGATTTTCGCCATATTTCCTATATCTTCACTTGAAATAAGGTTGGATACGTCTTCTAGATCACTCACGGATTCTTCGAAGGCATCCTCGTCGCCAGATGAAGTGTCTTGGTCATCGGATGACAGGATAACAGAGACAGACATAAACACTCAACTCGTTTATTAACAATGGCGTACCGGAAGTCCCCCTACACAAGGGCCCGTTCGATAGGCACTAACCCTAAAGTCAATTATTCAAGGGCCGTAACTTTTGCGGCCTTATACACAAGTTATACTAAACACTACAGATTCCGATGACGAAAAAAGAATGGACAGAGCACGTTCCAGGGCCAATCGAAAAATAAAGGCTGCGAAGCAGAAATCTGTAACGAAATGGAGATCTCGGTACTCACCATATCAACAACACCAGGTTTATCCAGCACCGATGGAAACAACCGGTCAACTGGATAAAATGGCTATTAGAACCCCGAGGCCCGGTTTGTATTATGGATGCGGTAGGGCCGGACATTGGAGGTCGGAGTGTCCAGCCATGTCAACTGCGGGATCCAGCACCGGTCAAAAGCTAAGTAGAATTTTTTATTCTAAGCATGGTCAGCATAATAGCGATGAAACCGCTCCGACGGTGGTTGTAAAAGATGTGCTTTCACCTTTTGGTAGGTTAAAGAAACGTTTTGTATATTGGAAAGCTTCTGGCACTTATGACGCGGTTTTATCGGTAATAGCCAATGGTTATAATTTACCATTCAAAGAAATTCCGTCGAATGTTCGTCTGCGAAACAACAAGCGCGTGACAATATGCAGTTTGTTTATGCAGAGGGAAAAAAAATTGCTTCGTATAGACTGCGTGTCCGAGGTCAAAGTTCGGCCACGTGTTGTAAATCCTCTGACAGTTGCGTACAACCGGGCAGGTAAAGCACGTCTCCTGTTAGATTGTCGTCATATCAATCTATTCTTGCACAAGTTCAAATTCAAATACAAGGACGCGAGCATCGCTCGAGAAATGTTTCATCAAGGTGACTTCATGTTCACTTTCGATTTAAAGTCGGCTTATCATCACATTGAAATTTATCCAGAGCACAAGAGATTTTTTTAGGTTTCGAGCCTGAAATGGGCGGAGTTACCAGTTCTTTTGTGTTCAATGTTGTTCCGTTCGGTATCTCTACCGCCGGCTATATTTTCACAAAGGTACTACGACAGGTTGTAAAGCACGTGCGATGTCAAGGTCATCGTTTAGTGCTGTATTTAGACGAATGTATTGGTGGACACGAAACGGTAGGCGGGGCTAGAGAAATTAGGAAATGCTTGACTGATTATGGCTTTCTTATCGCCGAGGAAAAGTGCCAAAGGGAGCCGTCCCAGACCGTCACGTGGCTCGGATACACATGGGCTATGAAAGAGGGTGTTGTTAGAGTCTCGGTTGACAGAGTGAATAGATTGTTGTTTTTGCTAAAACACACAATGGCTTTAGTGAGCGATCGAGGTCAGTTATTGTTCTCGGCCAGGTACGTCGCCAGCATTGTTGGGCTGGTTATATCAATGCAGGGCGTGATAGGGTCGTTAGTCCGTTTGCGGACACGTGAACTGAGCTCGTGTTTGTTGACAAGAGTCAGCTGGAATGCTGGAGTATTTCTCAATGCGAGAGCACTTGATGAGATAGAATTTTGGTTGTCTAACGTGCAAGATCTGAATGACAAAGGGTCTGAACTGAGGGAGAAAACGGTATTTTCTGATGCCTCTGAGACAGGATACGGAGGTTTTGTTATCCCGTGTGGGGATCCTCTTATGGAGGGAGATGAAGTGCTCAGTGTCGAGGACACTAATTATGTGCATGAGGCATTTGCCTTGACTGAAGGTCAATTCAACCTTCCAACGGTGAAGAGTTTGTACGCTCATCGTAGTCATGTCGTTATGGGAACGTGGGACGATGCCGAGCGCATTGCACAGCTCCACGTGGAGAGAATTGGAAGCGGCCAAACGAGTTCTGTATAGTACTGTGGGTCAGGTCAAATGTCAGAATGTCGAATTGTTAATGGACAACAAGAACGTGTGTGCTATTGTGAAGGTCGGTAGCGGTAAAGCACACCTACAAAAGGTCGCTATGATCACAATTGATTAAATTTCCTTTAACAATATGGTACAAACTGGTTTGCTACTTTATCAAAACTGTGCTGGGTTTTGTTGAACTTAGGTGACCGTTTGGGCCCTTCGGCCTTTTGTTGATAAGGAAATGGAATTTTGATGAACATGATTTACCATATATTTAATATTTTTTATGGGGTTTAATTATGTAGTATGCTTTTCAGGAAACCGATCTTTTGTCAAAGTTTTATCATCAGTAGATGGGCCTGATATAAGCTGTTTACAGCAGACTTGGTAGTGACAGATCCTAGATAATTAGCTCTGTTGTTTCCGTTACTTTGTACAGCATCTCTTTTGCAAGTTTTGAAATATAAATTGATTCTTAACTTTGTTTATCTCACATTTTATAAGGGTTGGTGATTACTTACATTTATGCTTTTTTTTTTCAGGCCAGGTCATCTTAGACATGAAACAACAGACTTGTTTGAAATTATTGTTTAAAGAAAACATTTCAATGCGCAGAGAACTGAAAATGAAAGAATGTAACAATGCTTATTGCTGGAAATGAATGCCTTAAAGGTCTGGAGTGGAAAAAAAGTAAAGAATACCATCCATAATTGGATTATGAATGAAAAGAGGAAAACAAAAAAATGGTTAGGGAAATGAGCAAGGAACAATGATGGCACTTCCTGAAACCTTCAAATGACTGTTTTGTTAGGTCAGAGGTCAAAGTTTATGGTATAAATATTAATATTACCACATAATGAAGAAAAGTTCGTAAAAAGAAAGTCACTACTATTTTTCATGATCATTATAATGAATACCACAACAGTTTTTTTATAAGTAAATATTTTATGATGTCCTGTTAAAAGTTTTTCTATTGTAATACATGTATGTAACGATATGTAAGCTGCACGTCCGGGGTTGTGTACATGAAATATGAAAGATACAAGATCAGAGATAAAGGCCCATGCAAAACTTTATATCTCATATTTATTAATGAATGGAATATGCATTAAGGTGTCCCATTTATATTGCATCACCATAGTTAAAGACTTCGGGTCTAATATCAAAGTCTTTACTAAAATAACTTATGGTATAATATGCTATTGAAAAGGAAAGATGACTTTTTTCAAATAAAGAACACATGCTTTATTATCATCTAGTTTCAATTAATTCATGACTAAATATTTATGCATAAAGTTCTGTATGCAATTAACAGGTTTTTACTTGTTTATTTAGGTTTTGGCAATGTCGATATTATGACAGTTTGAATCCATTGTTCATCAGATAGATGCAACTTTGCATGTCAAATATCATGATTTATACATGAAGATTTCGACAACTTATATTTTAGCAAGCTATCATCGGATGTGAGCAATTCAAATTGCCCTTCATCTGTACTTCGTCTATCCTTATGTAAACAATTCTTGTTATAGTTATTTCTTGTAAAATGTTTCAAGGGATCACTCCCAAATTTCACATGTACCAGTAGGCTTGGTACCTGGCTGTGCATTTACTCTTTTTTCATACTGATCTGAAAAACAATATAGCCAACAGTTTGATTTTGACAGTTACAGTTTGTTATTGCTATTTCTAGTTTATGTTTTATATTTCTTGGGAAGTACTGGGGATGATCCTCAAATTTCATATTACATAACTTTCTCCCCTTATTGTTTATTGTCTGTTTTCTATTATCTGAAAAGCAATACACTTCTAAATGATTATTGCAGTTTGTGGAGTAATACTGATAGGATCATTTTTTCTAGGTCCCTGTTTATTCAAACCAAACATTCAGAGGAAAGAATATAGAAAAGAATGAGAAATATTCAAGTTACAAACTTTCAATGGTGGGCGGCAATCACGATTCCTGTGATATATCGTGTTACATTTTGTATTTTTTCTTTTATTACAATTGTATTTTTTTTTCATCCTGAGGTTGAAAATAAAAGCACAGCAACTGAATATTCATGTGTTGTGATTGTTTTTATTTGATATTGCACAAGCTAATTTGCAGTAAATGATCTGAAGTCCGTATGAAGCTAATCCTGATGATGTATATAAAATGTTGCTACCATACTTACTGACATCTAGTTTTATACACAAAACTGGTTTTCATAATGTAAATTTGATGTCCCCCACCATGAACTGGAGTGGACTATATAATGTAGTTTTGCATTTTGTCCTTTCCTGTTTTGTGCAGGTGTTATCTTCTAAACTACTTGTCTCTGGAATCCCATACTTGGCACATGGGTTCACCGTGGAGAGGTGACGTGTTGGATATCCTAACTATTACTACTTACTGCAGCTTCATATTCCGCATTTGGATTGACAATGCTGAGGCTGTAGGTCACGTATCAAAAGTAGGTCACTGACCCACATCATGGGAAAAGCCTGTCTATGCTTTATCAGCTTTACTACTTTTTACTTGATCTTCACTTTATATACGGGTTCACCTTGATGTGTTTTACCATAAGTCACTGTGACTTACATTTTGACCTTGACCAAAATAGAATGTTCCAGACTCTTTCATACTATGCTTGTCACTGGGACTGTATGCAACAGAGGTCATTACTTATTTAAATGACTCCGCTAGGATTAGAACCCGGGACCTCTGGCTTATATATAATTACAAGTCCAACGCTCAACTGATTGAGCTAAAGAAAAGTTCTCTCTAGCCGAACGGGATATTGCGGCCGTTTAAATACTTCGCTGAACTACTTTAGTATTACCACAATGTCCAGTGACATCATTTTAGTTTTTTGTGGTCTTGGCTATTCAATCTGATGTTGCCACACTGTGTTTTAACAAAATGTCGCTGAAGTGAGGTACTTATTATGTACCTCGCTTGGCTGATGCAGTGTTGCCACACTGTGTGTGTACAAAATGTTGCTGAAGTGAGGTACTTATTATGTACCTCGCTTGGCTGATGCAGTGTTGCCACACTGTGTGTGTACAAAATGTTGCTGAAGTGAGGTACTTATTATGTACTCGCTTGGCTGATGCATTGTTGCCACAGTGTTTTAACAAAATGTCGCTGAAGAGAGGTAGGTTTGTGTACCTCG